CGTAATGGTGAAAGATGTGACAGCTTGTCTGTTATGATTGTTTTGATGAGGAAAGTCTACCATCTAAAGTATATATAGGTTATATGTGCTACGATGTCAAACATTATGTTCCCCCACCTCTGAGGTGCTTTAAGTGTCAAAAATATGGACATGTAGCAGCTGTATGTAAGGGCAAACCAAGGTGTGGAAGATGCGGTGGTGAACATGAGTACGGGAAATGCGTAAATGGAGCTAAGCTAAAATGCTGTAACTGTGGAGGAGAACACAGCTCGGCCTACAGGGGATGCGAGGCTAGTAAGAGAGCTGTAGAAATACAGAGAATTAAAACATCAGAAGGGATAACATACGCTGAAGCAACCAACAGAGTAGGTTGGCAACCAGACAGACCAAACAATAAACAAGCTAGTGCAGAATGTAAAAAGTCAAGAACATGTGAGGGATGTGACAAAATCAAGGAAGACACTATGTGGTGGGGAAAAAATGAGTTGTTTTGTTTATGGTCGAAGTGGTAAATTGCTCTGCGAAAACAGAGAAGAAAACAGAAAAAATCAAAGTAATAGCTGAAGCAGCAGAAAAGTACTTGGGAATCAAGGGGTTAGTGTGGGAGGAGGTTGAGGAACAATTAAGTGGAGGAACACCAGGCTCACAAGCACTGTCATGGGGTGGTGGATCTTCATGATCCTAACTATACTGCAATGGAATGCAAGAAGTCTAATTGCTAATGGACAGGAATTTAAGCATTTTATCTCAAACCTCCAAGATAAACCCAATATTACATGCATACAGGAAACATGGCTAAAACCACAATGGGACTTTGTAATTCAGGGTTACACAGCAATTAGGAATGATGGGTGAATGGAAAAGGTGGTGGGGTAGCAACGTTTGTGCTAAATGGGACAAGGTTTAGTTTGATGAGTGTAGGAAAAGAGCATGAAGCAATAGTAGTCAAAAGCTGAACTAACAATAATTAATTATTATAACCCTTGCAATAGATTAAATATAGACACATTGAATACTGTGGGTGGGCAAACACGGGATAAAGTGGTCTGGTGCGGTGATTTTAATGCACATAGTACACTGTGGGGAAGTAAAAAGACAGATACTAATGGATTAATCATAGAGGAATTAATTGTGGATAAGGGATTAGTTTGCATGAATGATGGAAGTGGCACCAGATATAACAGTGTTCAAATACAGAAAGTGCAATTGACTTAACATTAGTATATCAGGGAGTAGCAGGCATTTCAGATAATTTATTAGTCGAAGCCAGAAAGTGCAGAGACAACACTCTTGCCATGAACCCAGGTGTCAATATACAGAAGAGCACAACAACTGATGATTTAGATGTACCATTTAGCTTATTTGAGTTAAGGAGGGCTATCTCAAAGACAAGACAATCATCTCCAGGGAAGGACAACATCTGTTATAGCATGTTAGCTCACTTGGAAGATAGTGCACTTCCTGTAGTTTTAAGATTATTTAACCAGATTTGGAAACAGGCAAAATACCAATAGCATGGAAACAATCAATCATAGTACCAATAGTAAAAGCTGGGAAAGATCCATCAGACCCCTCAAGTTATAGACCAATAGCACTCACGTCACAGTTGGGGAAAACCATGGAACATATGATAACAGACAGATTAACATTCTCTATAGAAAGCAGAGATCTGTACTCACCAGATCAAAGTGGGTTTCGCAAAGGGAGAAATACAATGGACTCTATTTTATGTTTGGAATCTGAAATCAAAAAAGCTCAGACAAATGGGGAGGTTGTGGTAGCTGTCTTTTTTGATATTGAAAAAGCATACGATAGGTTATGGAAGGAAGGGTTACTTATCAAATTAAAAAATTAGGTGTAGGTGGTAGACTGTACAACTGGGTGTCGGACTTTTTATTTGGCAGGGCAATAGAGGTCAGGGTGGGCATAGAATGTTCAAGACTCTATAAAGTTGAAAATGGTACTCCACAAGGCAGTGTGTGTAGTCCAGTACTATTTAACATCAAGATCAATGATATTTTGAAAAAGTGGACACAAGTATTGAGAAGTCCTTGTATGCAGACGATGGCACCCTATGAATAAGAGGACGGAATTTGAAATTTATTCAGAAAAAATTACAGGCAGCAATTGTGGAGGTGGACAGTGGGCAAATAACTGGGGTTTTAAGGTGTCGGGTGCAAAGACACAAGTGATATGTTTTTCCAGGAGACATAAAGAAGTGTCCTTAAAATTATATGATCAAACCCTTGAAGAAGTAAAAGTTATCAGACTGTTAGGAGTGTTGTTTGATGAAAAGTTGACCTGGAAACAGCACACGATAAGGTCAAAGACAAATGCAAAAAAATCAATAACCTTTTATAAGATGTCTGTCAGGAAGGGACTGGGGGGCCACTACAACATCATTGCTTAAAATATATCAGACCTTGATGAGATCTACACTAGATTATGGATGTATAGCATATATGTCAGAGCAGAATGGCATCTTAAAAAACTAGATGTGGAACAGGCACAAGCGTTAAGGACATGCAGTGGAGCATTTAAGACCTCTCCAGTGGCTGCCATGCAAGTGGAAATGGGGGAACAGCCTCTAAGAATAAGAAGAACAAGAATTATGCTAACATACTGGGCTAATCTTCAGGGACACTGTAGCTCTCACCCCGCGCTAAAGCCAGCCTAGAAGAATGTTGGGAACACAATAAAAGTAGCTGTTTCAGTTTTGGATGGGTGGGAAATGCGAAAGCAGAACGTCTTGGCCTGTGCAGTATAAAATATATCCCAGTAGTCCCATATCCAGATCTTCCTCCGTGGTTTTTTGTAAATCCATCCATTGACCTGCATGTACAGCAAATAATCAAAAAGAAACCCAAGCAAGCACACACGGGAAGAATAGCAGAAAGTTACATAGAGCAGCACTATAGAGATAACCACATGGTCTTTACTGATGGCTCTAAAGATCCAGAGACGGACGGACAGGAGCTGCCATATACATCCCAGCATACAAACTAGGCATTAAAAAGAGATCATCTGTCAGTATATACAGTTGAGCTTATGGCCATTTTGATGGCATTACAGTGGATAGAAGAAAATAAGGAAAGCAAGGTGGTCATTGCAGATAGCTGGGCAGCGCTCACCAGTATTAAATCTGTTAAGTCCTGTAGGCTGGATCTGGTATTTAGTATTCATAGCTCTCTATGTAGAGATATCATAAGGGCTGGACTGTCTGCTTTGTTTGGGTTCCTGCCCATGTAGGGTAGAAGGAAATGAAGACGCTGATTCTGGCAAAACAAGCACTTAAATCAAAGTCAGTTGATATACAAGTTCTGCAAGTAAATCTGAAGCTAAAACAGTCATTAAAGAGAAATGCAAAAAACTTGAACCCAGATCCCTGCTTGAGGATGAGAACAGGTGAATGAAACATACAAACATTGGATGACCTTGGGTAAATCCAGTAAGCTAAAATAAATGACTTGAAATGAACTGTGTATGTGTTGTATTTATCCAATCATGATTTCAACTCTTCTGACTAGTACTTAAATGAATGACTTGAAATGACATGAAATGACAAGCCATGAGTCCATTGATGCTAGCCATATGCTAAAGGTAATGCTAATGCTAAAGTCCTATGCTAATGTTCAGCTAAGGTTAGCTCAGCATGTCCAATGCTACCGCTGGCTTAAATGAAGGCATGGGGTAGCCCATGACAGTACTTTAATCACTTTTGTAATGTAGTTATGCATGATACTTTAATGATTTTTCTTGCAGTACTTGTTGAAACATGTTCTGAGTACATTTACATTGAAGTCTAACTACGGTGTTGATTAATGTGAACTGTCCTGTTAAATTAAATAAAAAATACCACTTTGATACGGCAGCTAACAGAATACAGTGAGTAACTCAGGTAACTCAGCAAAGGCTGCACCAAAGCAACAAAGACTGACGATACTATAAAGGAGAGAGACATTTCCTTCAGACAGGGACAAGGCCAAAAGGATTACCAAGATTAAATTCAAAGCTGTGGTAGAGAATTACAGGTTTATACAGTCTTTTGGAGTCACGTGCGCCCTACCCTGGATATTCAGACACTGTCCTACTAGAGCTTTACAACAAGGCCTGTGACCACCTATGATGTGTTTTATCAGATGAGATGACAGCTATTATTCAACTGTCAAGCATACAGGTATCAGATCAGGACTCTGTGTGGACAGATACGTCATATTAAAAGACTGAGCAAAGCACCTGTAGGGACAAAAGAACCTGCAGGACGTCCCTAATGAAATGTCCTCCATGTTCCCAGAATAGAGAGCAGGTCTTCAGGTAGGCTTCCTTCTAGTGGGACCTGCCTCGGTCTCACAGTGGTGTGAAGAACTGAAGTGGACATTCAGGAAACATTCTCTGAGGCAGAGCTGCTCTGGATGCACAAATAATCTCACTGGCTGAACTGAACTTGGTAGCAGCCAATCTCTAAAAAGGGATTCTCTGGCCCGCCCACTGAAG